TTCAGAAATTTTTATTCCAGCACTATAAACTCGCTATATTTTTCGAATTAGCACGAAAAAATCTACATTCCAGAATTTTTTGGGAATATTTGGACAACTGTCCAATGCTCAATTTTTCAATACTCCGCCATTTTGACATTTTTGTCTAATTTTCGAAGAGATTTTCTTGTAGATTTCGACATTTAGACCGCACTTTCGGCGTCGTTTCCCACCGCTTTTCCGGAATCGTCAACTGATTTTCAATCCAAATTTTTTTGAAATTTTTAATTCGAGACTATAAGCACGCTATATTTTTCGAATTAGCATGTCAAGATCTATCTTCACAGTTCTTTGAAAATTTTTGATAACTTTTCCAAACGCTCAGTTTTTCAAAACTTCGAATTTTTGACATTTATCGACGATTTTCTAAATTAGCAAAAGGCATTTTCTTGCAGATTTCGACGTCCAATAGTTTTCGGCTTCGTTTCTTCGGAAATTCCTATAGTTTTCCTGAATCGCCAATTGAAATATGGCAATTTTTACGATAAAAAAATTCAATCCGAATTTTTGGGAAATTTTATTCCGGGACAACGAACATACTACATTTTTCGAATCAGCATATCAAGGTCTGCATTCCAAAATTTTTTGAGAATTTTTTGACCACTTTCCCAAACCCTCAATTTCTCAAATACATTTGACATTTTCGACCAATTTTCGACTATTTTCCAAAATAAGCTAAACAGATTTTCTTGTAGATTTCAACATCCAGAAGTCATTTTCTGATACGTTTCTTTGGAAATTCCTGCCAAAGTCCAAAGTCGTCAATTATAATACGGCAATTTTTACGATTTTCAAAAAAAATTATTTTCAATCCAAATTTTTCGAAAATTTTTAATCTGGGACTATAAACACCCTATATTTTTCGAATTAGCACGTCAGAATCTATTTCCAGAATTTTTTGAGAATTTTTGGACAACTTTCTAAAAAATTGGTCTAAGGTTATTCCAACAGAACTTCCCTCGCCCCTGAAGTGCAGCAAAATAAACCCCACTTCTATGAAAAATTATCATTTTTTGCGATTTTTGTGCTCTGATAACCTCTATAAAGTCAAAACGAGTGGCGTAAATAACGTTCGCGCAGTTTAGTTGACTTGAATTTTTTCTTCAATTTTTCAACTTTTCAATTCAATTTCTGGATTTTGCAATTTTTTGATTTGAGTTTCTCGAGTTTTCAATTTTTAATTTTTCTATTTGCAATTTTTCATTTCAGTTTTTCATTTCTTCAATTTTTCGAGAAAAAATTATCGAATAATAGATTGACTTTATGTTTTTTATTATAATATCTGTTGCTGTTTGCGGCAAAAAATTTTTGAAAGAAAACAATGTATATAAAGAAAAAAACAAAGATTAAGCCCCACCCACCCGCCCCGATCTCAATTGTGATGAGTTTTCATTCCCAATTAGACGAGGGGCGTAGTTTAATTGCAACATATTATTTCTCTAGAAAATTCTACGCTTTAAAAACATATTTCATTTGTAGAGAAATGAGAATTTTGCAATTAAACTCCGCCCTTCAGCTCACGATGAATACAATATTCATAACAATTGAGAAGAGGTGGGTGGGCGGGGCTTACTTTTTGTCAATTTTTTCTTAATGTGCGAACTCTTGTTTTCCCAACAAGAAACTGCCAATATATTTAACTATCCTGTTGTTAAAAAAAAAAAATAAGCCCCACCCACCCGCCCTGATCTCAGTTGTGATAAGTTTTTCATTCCTAATCAGACCGAAGGGCAGAGTTTAATTGTAACATCAATTAAAGAATTCTACCCTTTTAAAAACATACATTTTTCATATGTTAATTTCTTGTAGAGAAATGAGATTTTTGCAATCAAACTCCGCCCTTTAGCTCACGATGAATAAAACATTCATCACAATTGAGAAAGGGTGGGTGGGCGGGGCTTATATTTGGTCCATTTTTTCTTAATATGAGAAGTCTTCTTTTCCCAACAAGAAGCTGAAAACATGTTTAGCGATTCTGTTATTGATAGAAAATTCTATATATTAAAAAAAATAAAGCTTAAGCCCCACCCACCCGCCCCGATTTCAATTGTAATGAGTATTTCATCACCTAATCAGACCGAAGGGCGGAGTTTAATTAAGGCATCAATATTTCTCTAAAAAATGTTACCCTTTTAAAAACATACATATTTCGTATGGTAATTTTTTGTAGAGAAATGAGGATTTTGAAGCTAAACTCCGCCCTTCAGCTGACGATGAATAAAATATTCATCACAATTGAGAAGGGGTGGGTGGGCGGGGTTTATATTTTGCCCATTTTTTTCTTAATATAAGAAGTCTTCTTTTCCCAACAAGAAACTGACAATATATTTAACTATCCTGATGTTGAAAGAAAATTCTATATATAAAAAGAAATAAAGATTACGCCCCGCCCACCCGCCCCGATTTCAATTGTGATGAGTTTTTCATTCCTTTTCAGACCGAAGGGCGGAGTTTAATTGTAACAGTTTACTTCTCTATAAAAAACATATTTCATATGCTAATTTCTGGTAGAGAAATAAGAATTTTGCAACTAAACTCCGCCCCTCAGATCATGATGAATAAAATATTCATTCCAATTGGGAAGGGGCGGGTGGGCGGGGCTTATGTTTTTGCCATTTCTTCTTAATATAAGAAGTCTTCCTTTCCCAGTAAGAAACTGAAAACATGTTTAACTATCCTATTGTTGAAAGAAAATTCTACTCCCATATATATATATATACAAAAAAAAATAAGCCCTACCCACCCGCCAGTGTCTTAATTGTGATGATTTTTTCATTCCTAATCAGACCGAAGGGCGGAGTTTAATTGCTACATATTCTCTAGAAAAAATATATTTCATATGCTAATTTCTTGTAGAGAAATAAGGATTTTGCAACTAAACTTCGCCCCTCAGATCACGATGAATAAAATATTCGTCAGAATGGAGAAGGGGTGGGTGGGCGGGGCTTATATTTGGTCCAATTTTTTTTAATATGCGAAGTCTTCTTTTCCCAACAAGAAACTGACAATATATTTAACTATCCTGTTGTTGAAAGAAAATTCTATATATTAAAAAAATAAAACAAAAAACAAAAATTAAGCCCCACCCACCCGCCCTATCTCAATTGTGATGAATTTTCAAAGGCGGAGTTTATTTGTAACATCAATATTTCTCTAAAAAATTCTGCCCTTTTAAAAACATATTTTATATGGTAATTTTTTGTAGTGAAATAAGGATTTTGCAACTAAACTCCGCCCCTCAGATCACGATGAATAAAATATTCGTCAGAATGGAGAAGGGGTGGGTGGGCGGGGCTTATATTTTGTCCAATTTTTTTTAATATGCGAAGTCTTCTTTTCCCAACAAGAAACTGACAATATATTTAACTATCCTGTTGTTGAAAGAAAACTGTATGTATTAAGAAAAAACAAAAAAAAAATTAAGCCCCACCCACCCGCCCCGATCTCAATTGTGATGATTTTTTCATTCCTAATCAGACCGGTAACATCAATATTTCTCTAAAAAAATCTACCCTCTTAAAAACATATATCATATGGTAATTTCTTGTAGAGAAATGAGGATTTTGCTACTAAACTCCGCCCTTCAGCTCACGATGAATAAAATATTCGTCACAATTGAGAAGGGGTGGGTGGGCGGGGCTTATATTTTGTCCATTTTTTATTAATATAAGAAGTCTTCCAATAAGAAACTAAAAACATGTTTAACTATCCTATTGTTGAAAGAAAATTCTACTCCCATATATATATATATAAAAAAAATAAGCCCCACCCACCCGCCCCTGTCTTAATTGTGATGACTTTTTCATTCCTAATCAGACCGAAGGGCGGAGTTTAATTGCTACATATTCTCTAGAAAAAATATATTTCATATGCTAGTTTCTTGTAGAGAAATAAGGATTTTGCAACTAAACTCCGCCCTTCAGACCACGATGAATAAAATATTCGTCAGAATGGAGAAGGGGTGGGTGGGCGGGGCTTATATTTGGTCCAATTTTTTTTAATATGCGAAGTCTTCTTTTCCCAACAAGAAACTGTTGTTGAAAGAAAATTCTATATATTAAAAAAATAAAACAAAAAACAAAAATTAAGCTCCACCCATCCGCCTCGGTCTCAATTGTGATGACTGTTTCATTCCTAATCAGACCGAAAGGCGGAGTTTAATTGTGACATCAATATTTTTCTAAAAAAAATTATCATTTTAGAAACATACATATTTCATATGACAATTTATTGTAGAGAAATGAGGATTTTGCAATTAAACTCCGCCCTTCAGCTCACGATCAATAAAATATTCGTCACAATTGAGAAGGGGCGGGTGGGCGGGGCTTATATTTGGTCCATTTTTTCTTAATATGCGAAGTCTTCTTTTCCCAACAAAAAATCGACAATTATTTAACCATCGTGTTGTTGAAAAAAAATCTATATATTAACAAAAACAAAGATTAAGCCCCGTTCTCCACTGTGATGAAATAACTATTGCAATTTTTACGATTAAAAAAATATTTTCAATTCGAATTTTTCGGAAATTTTTAATTCGGAACTATAAACACTATCTTCTTTTTCGGTCTCGTTTCTTCGGAAATTCATACAGTTTTTCCATAATCACCCACCGAAATAGTGCAATTTTTGGAATTAAAAATATATTTCTAAGCGGAAAATTTTTACATGTTGTACCGAGGGCATAAAGGGAATAGAACTTTTTTTTATACCCTCCCCTATGAAAATTTCGGCCAATTTTGCATAGTAGCACAATTCTGCTGAAAATGTGCATAACCTAAACTGATTGATTTAAAAAGGAGTCAAATGTCAATTGTCTGTCAACAATAATGCATATTTGGTTGCCTACTTATCCACTGAAAATAATTGCCACTATAAATAAATGACAAAAAAATAATTCGAAGTACTACTCCAAAAATATTTTTAACTGTACACACATCCATAGTGAATTAAAAAAATCCAGATAATGAGATAAACATTTTATTAAATATAGGTATAGACAAAAAATAGAAACTGGCGTCTCGATAGCGAAAATTTATACAAGATAATTATAATTTTATTTGAAAATCTAACATTGTCACTCATAAAAATAAATATTTGCTATCTTCCAGTTCAGCCATGACCGGATGTTTCTTATCTACAATGGCTAACAGACAGGAATTTTATTTATAGTTATTCCAGTTTTATTTTCACAAGGTTTAGGGTACTGCAATGTCTATTAGCACAAATCAAAAAATAAGTACCAAACGAACCACCTAATTACTACACATTCTACTTATTCTTGCTAGCCTCCTCCCTCGCCTTCTTCCTCACATCCACCGACGGGTCCCACTGCGCCTGGTAATAATTCCCAGCGAACACCTTCCCCAAATCGTACTTCTTCCTGAACCCCCTCATCGACCAGCTAATCCGATGCTCCCGCGACATCTTATCGTCCTTAGGCTCCTCGAACTCCATCTTCCCCTTCTGCTCGTACACCAGGAAAATGTACCTGTGCAAACCGGTCCCTTGTGACGGCCCCGAACCCACATACTCAGCGATAACTTCACCACTTTTCACGTCACACCCTTTTATATTCACCACCAGCCAGTGCTTGATGTCGGCGTATTTGGGCTCGAGCCTGCTGGGGGCGTCCGGGTCGTACATGATGAGGGTGTAGTACTTGTCGGGGTCGGCTTCCCATGACACTTGGGGCTCGTCGACGACGTCGGTGGTGGCGAGTTCCTGCCCCAGGTCCACGACTTTGCCGTTGGGGTACTTGATGGTGATTTTGGTGGAGAGGATTTCCTTGAGGGTCTCGGCGGTGTCGGTGGTGTCCGACATTTTGAGGGAAAGGAAGAGGATGGACTGCGGGTTCGTGTGAGTAACGTGGCCTTCGGATGTGGAGGAGATAATGTTGTGATAGGAGCGATAGGTGCGAATTTGAAGCTACGGTTGATTGACTTGTTGCGAGGTGATTTCGAGGAATGGTGTTTGGAAACTGTGGCGGTGAAGGCAAATAGATAAGGTGATAAGTGGACACAGATTTTATTTTAAAAGCAAATATGTTGGAAATAACATAAAACGCGATTCCTGTTTTTACGATTTTATTTGTTGAAATTTCGTTTTTGTTTTCCTTAAAAAGTTAAAACATATGTATAAACACGATAAGTAGATACTTCATTTTATAGAGATAAGGAAGTATTTTGATTTGGAAAACAGATAGTTTTATAGATAATTATATTGCGCATTAAGGAAAATTGTTGTTTACTTTTAAGAATCTTTCATCATTAACTTTCTAAGATATAAATATAGAACCGGGAAAAACCAAATGCAAGATTTTGCTTGAAGTAGGCAACCAACTATACAGACTCGGTAGAACAATAATAAATTCATATGGTCTATATTATGTATATATTAATAATAAAACAACACAAGGAGCGACAAATATTCCCATAATTTTTGTCTTTCAAACTCGTTGGTGGTAAAATCGATTGCAGTACCGAGTGATCAGAAAACACTGAGTCGGTTGGCTGTACTTAAAAAAAAAGAAAGCGAACTTTTCTTGCCTTTACGTTGGCATTAAAAATGTCAACAATCTGTCTATTTTGACGGCTTACAACCGGAAATTATAGAAAACATGATAATACCAATTTCAACTAAAAATACAGGATTGCCAACAGACCCAGTCTGAATCCATTATAACGTTAAACACATCTTACAAAAGTAAAAAATTAGCAACTGAAAAACCCCGAGAAATCACAAAATTTTTAAAATCGAAAAATTGAAAAATTCAGAAATTGGCGAAAAATTGAAAAAGAGAAAACATGACAAATCGAGAACTCGAAAAATCGGAGAATCATAAAATCGGAAAATGTAAAATTCAAAAAATTGGAAAATTGAAAAATCAAAAATTTAAAAATAGAAATACCGAAGTACTAAAAAATTGAAAATCGGAGAAATTCGAAAAGTCCAATATTTAAAGAATCGAAATTGAAAAAATTAAAAATCGAAACATTAAAAATTGAAAAAATGAATAAATGAAAAAGTTTTAAAACCCAATAATTGAAAAGTGGAAAAACTTTAAAAACTATAATTATCATTCCATATTTAAAATGAAAATCATAAAATTTCAAGCTGAAAAATTGATAAATTTCCACATTTAAAAAAAGGAAAATTATAAAATCAGGACAATGAAAAATCGAAAAATTAAAAAAATACTGAACATAAACGTAACGAAGTGAAATCTTAAACTCAAAGAAACAAAAAAAAATAAAAAATTGAAAAATTGCAAATCGAAAAAACGAAGAAACAAAAAATTTAAGAAATAAAAAATTGAAAAAACAAAAATTACAAAATCTTAACACTCAAGAATGGATTAATTGATAAAATAAAGACAATAAAATGTTGAAAGGAAAAAGTGAAAGTAGAAAGACTGAAAAATTATCAATTGAAAAATTTAGTAGTTGGAAAATTGCAAAACTAAAAAATTTAAACTGGAAAACTCGAAAAATTGCATATCGAAAAACTGAAAAAAAAGAAAAATCGAAGAATTGAAAATCAAGTGACTTCTGCGGGCCGAAATCCACCAGAAAATGTAGTTAGATTTCTAAAATCGTCGAAAATGGGTCGAAAAATCGAAAATTCAAAAAATTGAAAAGTTTGAAAAACTGTAAATTGACAAATCATAAAATTGAAAACTCAAAAAATTGAAAATTTGGAAACGTTAAGAATTGAACTTGGAAAATTCCCAAAGTTGAAATGTTGAAAAATTGGAAAATCTAGTAAAAATTTTTAAAAATCGAAAAACGCAGATGTCTAGAAATCGAACCATAAAAAATTGTAAATTCCAAAAATTGAAAACCAAAAAATGTAAAATTAAAAAAATCGGAAAATTGAGAAATCAAAATACTGAAAATTCAAAAATTTAAAGATAGAAATATCCAAGTACTGAAAAATCGAGAAATCGAAAAATCAAAAAATCGCAAATTTAAAAAATCGAGAAATTGAGAAATCGGAACATCGAAAAATTGGAAAAGAGAAAAATCGAAAAGTTCAAAAATCGAAAAAACGAGAATTTGAACAAATGAAAAGCTGAAACATAAAAAGACTGCGAAATCAAAAGTCGAGAAGTCAAAAAATCGAAAAATTGAAAGATCGAAATATCATACATTTTAAAAATCTGAAAACTGAAAAACCGAAAATTGAAGATTCTAAAATTTAAAAACCAACAATTAAAAAATCGAAAAACGAAGGAATCCAAAAACAATATCGAAAAATCTAACAAAAATTGAAGAATCTAAAAATTCAAAAAATATATCAAAACTGAAACATCTGTAAATTGAGAAGTTGAAAAATTGAAAAATTGGGGAATAGAAAATTTAAAAAATAGAAAATTAATAAATTGACAAACCGTAAAATTGAAAAATTGAAAAATTGGAAAAATGAAAAATCGAAAAATTGAGAAATTCCAAAACTGAAATGGCAAAAAATTGAGAAATCGGAACATCGAAAAATTGGAGAATAGAAATATCGAAAAATCCCAAAACTGAAACTTCGAAAAATCTAGAAAAATTGAAGAATCGAAAAAATGAAAGACTCTAAAACATCTGAAAATTGAGAAATCGAAAAATTGATGAAAAATCGAGACATCGAAAAGTCGGAAAATGAAAGTCGAAAAAACGAAAATTTGAAAAATCAAAAACGTGAAAAGTCGAAAATTTTGAAAAATTGAAAATTGTAAAATTTAAAAATTGAAAAGACGAAAAATCTAAGAATAAAAATAGTGAAAAATCCCAAAACTGAATTATAGAAAAATTGATAGATCGAAAAAAAATTGAAGAACCGAAAAATTGAAAAATCGAAAAATCGAAGAATCGAAGTCTTGAAAAATCTAGAAGAAGAAATATCGAACAATTGAAAAATTGCAGAATCGATAAATTGAAAAATTTCAAAACTGAAACATCGGTAAATTGAGAAATCTAAAAATTAAAAAACCGAAAGTCGAAAAAACGAAAATTTAAAAATCGAAAAACTGAAAAATCAAAAATTTGAAAAATCGTAAGATTGAAAAATCAAAAAAGTTGAAGAATTGAGATATTGAAAACATTCGATTAAACGGGAAATTGAGAAATAGAAAAATCGAAAAATCGAAAAATAGAAAATTTAGAATCGGAAGGAATTGAAACATTGAAACATTTAAAACTCGAGAAATTGTAGAATCAAAAATATTAAAAATCGAATAGGTAATCGAAAAACCGAAAAATCTTAAACCGAGAAATTAAACAATCCATAGACAGAGAAATCGAAATAACAAAAAACTGAAAATCAAGTATGTATTTAAAATTTTGAAAAATTGAAAAATAGAAAGATGAAAAAATTGCAAAATCGAAAAATAGAAAGTTTTGAAAAATTGAAAATTCTAAAATTTAAAAATCAGACAAGAAAAAATCCAGCAATTGAAAATCGTAAAGATGAAAAATCTAAGAATATAAAATATTGAAAAATCCCAAAACTGAATTATAGAAAAATTGAAAAATCAAAAAAAAAAAATTTAAGAACCAAAAAATTGAAAAATCGAAAAATCGAAGAATCGAAGTCTTGAAAAATGCCAAAGATGAAATGTGGAAAAATTGAAAAATTGCAGAATCGAAAACTTGAAAATTTAAAAAAAATTCAGAATCGAAAAATAGAAACAGAAAAATCTAAAGTTTAAAAATCGAAATTTCAAAAATCGAATCCAAAAATTGAAAACTGAAGAATCAAAATGTTGAAAAATCCTAAAACTGAAACATCAAAGAAATGAAGAATCGAAGAAAAATTGAAGAAACGATAAGCTGAAAAATTCTAAAACTGAAACATTGGTAAATTGAGAAATCTAAAAATTGGAAAATCGAAGAATTGAAAATTTGAAAAATAATGGAAAATTCAGAAACGTCAAGAATTGAAAAATGAAAAATTTTAAAACAGAAAAATTGAAAAATCGTGAAAATAAAACATCGGAAAATTGAAAAATCGAAAAAATCGAAAAATCCAAAAATTTAATAAATCGGGAAACTGAAGGATCGAAAAGTCGAAAACGCGAAGAATGGAAATATTAAACAATCGCAAAACTACAATAACGAACGATTGAAAAATCGTTAAAAATTGCAGAATTGAAAAATCGAAGAATCGAAATCTTGAAAATTCCCAAAAATGAGATAGTGAAAAATTTGAAAATTGAAAATAAATTGGAGAATCAAAAAATTAAAAAAATGAAATCAAAAAAACGAAAAATCGAAAAATTAAAAATCAAAATTTAAAAAATCGAAAAACTGAAAAATCGAAATATTCGAAAATCCCAAAACTAGAACATCGGAAAATTGAAAAATCGTAGAAAAAATGAAGAATCGATAAATTGAAAAATCGAAAAATTAAAAATTTCAAAACCCAAAAATTAAAAAATCACAACCTGAATAATCGTAAAACTGAGAATTGAAACACTGAAAAAATCGAAAAATGGAGAAAACGAAAAGTCGAAATACCAAAAAATCGATTAAACGAGAAATTGGGAAATCGACAAATCGAAAATTTAGAAACGTAAAGAATTGAAAAAATGGGAAAACCGAAACATTGAAGAATCAAAAAATTGAAAAATTCTGAAAACGAAAATTGAAAAATCGCAACACTTTTTAACATTTAAGTAAAATTTATTTGACAAAATGGTAAGATGACCACATCAGTTCCTGAGGAGGGGGACACGAACAGATAAATTTTGATTACCGATTTACACTGCTTCCGATAACCTTAAAACGTTTGCAGGATTTTAAAGCATCCAATTTTGCAATTTCAAAGTTAAATTGCAAAATGTTATACAGTTTTGAGTTTTTTTCCAAAAACTTGGCATAAAATTGGCATTTTTTAACTTCATGTGGTGTAGTTTATGCAACCAATTATATACTTATATTTACAAAAAAAATGCAGGTTTCAAGAAAAAAATTTATTTCATACTAAACATTGTTTTAAAATTTAAATAACTGATTTCAGCTGATAACGGAGTTTCAGAACGAACAATTAAAAAAAATAAATAGAAATCAGGTTAAAAAACATGTCTTAATTAGTAGCTACTAAAACCGTTTAATCTTAAACTATTCCATAAATTAAATACAACTCGTCTATAAAGCTTACCTTCATCTTGATACTCGAAATATTTACATATACATTGACAATGAACATATTTTTTGTGCCACTAAATAATTAATTGCAACAAAAATATTTTGAAAGAAAATAGTTGATTCTGATAACAATTAAAATCGATCTACAAACCTCACTAACGTAGTACACAATCACAGGTAATAAACCTAGGACAAACCAGTTCCCAAAGAGCAGGATTTTCCAAAGGAGCGTTCAAAAGTGCATAGTGTTCAAAAGCACACAACAATAAACCGAGATTAATAAAGAAAACGCCACAAAACCAAACCAAAATATTAAAAATCGTCCACTTTGGAAACTCACAGAAAGTTAAAGGAAACACAACACCCATGAAAATTACAAACATCACAGGAAAAAATCCGCCAATCCATGAATACATAATCCATTCGTGTACACCAAAAGACACCACAAAAACCACCAACTTCGCAAGAGCGCCATTATCACAAACAAATTCCCTAAAATCGCGATAAACATAATAGTACAACCAATCCTGGACAATTTTATTCCACTTCGACAACCAAATACTAAAGCTATAGGCGTTCCACCAATCTTGATAGAACAAGCGGTCCCCAAACCGCAAAATTTCGGCAAACAGATTTTGCACGGAGTGGAAAATCAAAAAAAAAATTCCTGTCACAACCAAAATACCGTACGGTAATTTTTCCATAACAATTAACAGTATGTCGTTTGGGGTAAATTTTTGGCACCACTGTTCGGGGGTGGGGTAGGAGTTCATTATGACGACAGTGAAAATGAACAAGACGCTCAAGCATTGGAGGAAACACCGAGCTACGAATTTCCAGTTGGTGGTTTTCGTTCGAGGGTAGTGGTCTCTGTAGATGAGGGTAGGTGCGAAGAGGAAATACAAGAAGTTGGAGAATTTTAGCGCAGGGTCGGCTTCGGTGGCTTTGTTTCGGACGAACGAGTGCACCTTCATCAGGAACCTCACCTGCAAGTTAAATAAAATTAATAGTAATCTAATCATTGTTTGTTTTTCGAAGTTGACACTGACACGAAATGAACTGAATGAGGTTTCATGGATAAAGTTTAATCAAATGTTGTTTATTTACAACAGGTAATAAGTAATTATACGCTGTTATTTTCGCAGTCGTCAATTTCCTAACAAGTGTGTCATGTTTCTTTAAAAAAGAATAAAACAACTATATAAAGAGACTTATTAATGGAATAATAAGACGTAATTATAGTAAGTGTGCCAACGACAAATGAATGAAATTTACCTCGAAAGTTCAAAAAACTTTAGGTAATGGTTTGCGTAACTCGCAAGAATGTTAAGTGTTTGTTATCAATATGCGTTGACAACAAAAAGGAAAAGGTTTAAGGACAACAAGACTCGCAGTTTTATATGTGGTGTTAGAACGTGTTAGACCGGTCACTAATTTAACATTCAATTACGTCAAAGGTCACTTTGTTTAAAATTTTCCTAGAAAAAATCGTTATCGTATTGCGATAAATTCATGAGGAAAATGTTGAAATCAAAAATTAGGTTCGCTCGAATTTGGCGCAATGTGATATAAATTTTTACAATTGAGTATAAGAATGTTATCAGTAGAGAGCGGATTATATGAAGTTTTCATATCCCGTGTTTTTGATATGATCAATAAAATAACGAAACATTTTAATCACTAAACGAAAAGATGTTTTCTATGAATTGCAATAACCGAATCACAATGCCGACGGTCCAGACGTTTTTATTGCTCTAAGAAAATTTCGAATTAAAAAATGGCACCAAAATTAATTTAAAAATAACACTAGTGGAACCCAGCACAAACAGGTTTAATTTTGTCAACAAAAATAAAAACTTAAAAATTGAAGAGAAGAAGAAGAAATTTCAAATTTTTAATTATTGGCTTCTTTTTCTTAATATGTATATATCTGTTTTCAATAACACCAAATACCAATTGATATTTTAAGTATTTTATCGTTGAAGAAAGACTATGAATATAAGTATACTAAGAAAATCGAAGAATAAATCCCGCCCACCCGCCCCTTCTCAATTGTGATTAATCTTTTTATTCGTCTTGAGACAGAGAATGGAGAGAAGACCGTTAGCGCTTTTTTTTGGAAAGAAAGTTTGAGGCGTCCAAATTGGAAAATCGGTTCCAGTTTAAAAATTTTTGAAGTACTTTCTTATGTATTCTTAAAATTATATTTTAAGGTACATTTTGATCAAGAAAATTTCGTCTACAACTTAAGTTAAAAAACGCTATACCTAAATATTTTAAAGCTCAAGATTTCAAATATAAAGCTCCATTTAAAATTATCAATGCAGAAGACACAATTATACAATTAATGAGAAAAATATTAAGATTCAAAATTCAGTATCACTTATAAACAATTTACAATTATCAACGCAAATCGAGTGTTTAGGAACGTACTGCCAAAATTTATTGCAGCAGAAAGAAGACGAAATTTATTGTTTAAAAGAAAAAATAACAGTTTAAATTTAGAGAATTTAAAAATTAATAACCAACTGTACAAAATTTTGGTTGGTTAAACTATTTACATTTATATTTTATATTTTTCTATCACTATAAAAGAAGAAAAACCCCTTGAAATGTAAGGTGTAAATCGAATAATGTATAGAAGGAAAATAACAATTTATCTGTTTTCTCACCAATGGTTTATTAGATTTGCCGAAGATTCGATTAAGACAATAATATTGTCAATAATTAATAATATTAAGAGTAGTTACCAGATTGAAGAGAAGGTGGGTGGGCGGGCCTACTGCTTGCCTATAAAAGACTCTCTGAGAAAAAACTAAACTTAGCCCCGCCCACCCACCCGTTCTCTCATTTTAATTATGTACTAAGAAAATCAAAGGAGGTGGAGACTGGAACTTAAATGCAAAGTTCATATTCCTATACAAGAAAATACCATTTGGAACATGCTTTAAGTATCGTGTTGTTGAAAGAAAACTACACGCTTAAGTATATTAAGAAAAAAAAGTAAAAAATTAAGCCCCACCCATCCGCCCCGATCTCAATTGTCATGAGTTTTTTATTCGTTATGAGATCGAGGGGCGGAGCTTAACTGCAAAGTCCATTTGTTTGAGGCATGATCGTATTATAGAAAATAGACTATTTTGAAAAAAAATAGGGAATGAATATTCTTATGAGGCCGAAAGAAGAAAAGAAACTATACTTATCTTAGCCGGTACTAGCACCGCCCACCCACCCTCTATTTTCTTGAAGATATGTTATTTGCCAAAATCATTCTTATCTTAGCAAGTACTAGCCCCGCTCACCGTTAACTCTAACGACTACCTTTAAGATAAATTCAATTTATTGAATTAGAGGCGGGGTGGGTGGGCGGGATAATTATTTTCGTTTATCGTGTGGGAGAGGAAACTAATTGAACCTTTAATTCTACTGTAATTTTTTTAGTATACTATTTGCCCCCAAGATTCTTTTCAATTCTTTCAAAAGCCAAACACTAGGGACCTCAAGATTCTTTCAAATTTCTTCAAAAATTCAAAAATTAAACATCAAAATTCTATGAAATTCTTTCAAAAACAAAATATCCGCACCTCAAAATTTTCTAAGATTAAAAAAAAATCCTGGAGAGTCGAAAATTCTTCTATATTCCAAAGAAGGTTACTAGGGTCTTCGAGATTTTCCAACTTTTTTCGAAAATAAAACATCAATAGTTCTCAAGATTCTTTTAAATTCTTGAAATAAGTTCCTCGGGACTCGAAAATTCTCTTAAATTTAAAACAAATTCTTTCAACTTTCTCCAAAAAAGCAGCATCAAGATTCTTTCAATTTCTTTCATAAACGCCTGCGATCTGGATATTCGTTTAGAATCTTAAAGAAATATAGAGGGATTTTTTTTTCAATTTAAAAAAAAGAACGCTAGGTACCTTAAGATTCTTTCAGCATTTTTCAAAAATGAAAAATAATAAGGCCCCCACGATTCTTTTCAATTTTTTCAAAAGTAAAACAGTAGTGACCTCAAGATTCTTTCAAATTTCTTGAAAAATTCAAAAATTAAACTTCAAGAGCCCTCAAAATTCTTTTAAATGCTTTCAAAAACAAAACACCCGCGGCATCAAAATTTTCATAGATTAAAAAAAATCCTGGAGAGTCGAAAATTCTTCTAAATACCAAAAAAAGGAGACTAGGGTCTTCAAGATTTTTACAACTTTCTCCAAAAATGAAACATTAATAGTCTTCAGGATTCTTTTAAATTCTTTCAAAAACAGAAGACTCGCGGCCTCAAAATTCTTTTAAATTCTTAAAAAAAGACCCTCGGGATTCGAAAATTGTTTTAAATTTAAAACAAATAAATAATAATAATAATAATAGCGTCTTTATTTATTTATCCAAGGTGGCGAAGTTTTGGCCAAAAAAGAAGCATCAAAGGTCCTAAAGATGTTTTCAGTTTCTTTCATAAAACGCCCGCGATCTGGATATTCTTCTAGATTTTAAAAAAAGAAACTGGGATTTTTTTTAATAAAAATAAAAAGCTAGGCACCTCAAGATTCGTTTAAAATTTTTCAAAATAAAAAATCATGGGCCCCAAGATTGTTTTGAATTTTTTCAAAAGCGACTGTTTTGCCTAGAAAATCTCAAAAAAAGCACACTGGGGACTTCAAGATTCTTTCAGAAATTAAACTCAAGAGCCCTAAAATTTTTTTAAATTTTTTCAAGAACAAAAGAACCTCGGCCTCAAAATTCTTTTAGATGCTTATAAAAAGATCGTTAGGGCTCGAAGATTCTTTTAAGTTCCAAAAAAGGTATTTTAGGGCCCTCAAAATGAAATATATAACGGTGCCCCAAAATTCTTAAAAAAAGATGCTAAGAGCTCCAAGATTCTTTCAAATTTGTTCAAAAATGAATCATCAAGGGACCCTAAGGTTCTTTTAAATTATTTCAAAAACAAAACACTCGCATGCAGCCTCAAAATTCTCTTAGATTAAAAAAAAAGAACTTGGCGACTCGAAATTTCTCTCTCTGGCATATAACTTAATAAATTTTGGTGCAAGAAATTATTAGACAACTTAAAAATTGATAACAAACTCTTCAAAGTTTTGGTTGGTTCAGGCTATTTACATTTATATTTTTTATTTTCCTTATTGCACATTCTATATTTTGTATTTTAATTTGATGTGCCATTAACCTATGTTGTATTAGGTTTATGTAATATGGCGAATAAAACATCGCAATCACTTTAAACAAAGAAAAACCCCTTGAAATGTAAAGTGTAGATCGAATGATTTATAGAAGATTCTAGTGACACAATAATATTGTCAATAATTAACAGTATTAAAAGTAGTCACCAGAATGAAGAGGCGGTGGGTGGGCGGGCCTACTGCTTGCCTATAAAAGACTCTCTAAGAAAAAGTTAAACTTAGCCCCGCCCACCCACCCGTTCTCTCATTTTTTTTCCTCTGAAATAAGAAATAAATCTTGTAATAAATAGTACAACAAAACAGTTACGATTGGCGCGGTTACTTACCACTCCCACTTTGCAGAAAAACATATAATAAACCCCGCCCACCCACCCGCCTCCATTTCGGTGATTAATTTTATAAAAAAAGTACTACCCTAATTGAAGAGAAGAAGAAAAGGAAACTGAAAACATGTTTAAAGTAGTAAATTTTTGTAGAAAAATATGGATTTTGGAATTAAACTTCGCCCCTCTACGTTAACACGAATAAAAAATTCATAATAAGTGAGATAGGGGCGGGTGGGCGGGGCTTATTTTTCTTAGTCTATACCTATTTTCACCAACACGATATTTAAAACATTATTTTAACCTTAAATTCACTATTTGATATAATGTAAATATTTTTATTGTTGAAAGAAGTCTATGTGTACATTACGTACTATGAAAATCAAAGGATAAGCCCTACGATTGTGATTAATTTTGTTAAGATTGTATTTCCATACAAGAAAATACCATTTGGAACCATATGTATTAAGAAAA